AAAGCATCCTAACTGATATTCTCTCTCATCCTGAAAAAAACAGCCACAACCCTGATACCCTGACACAGAGCACAGTGGCACGGTTAAATGGGTGGGTTCTGGCGCTGGTTTTCCTCAGTGAATCTGAGTTCCGTCTCTTACTGACTCTGTGACATCCCACAAGTTCCTTGACCTCTGTGTTAGTTTCCTGACCTGTAAAAGGAAATATTAATAGTACCTACATCATAGCGTTGGGAGAATTAAATGTTAATCCACGTACAGCACAGGTGTGGCATATAAAAATCACTCAATAGGGGTTGGCCTGGTGGTGTAGTGATTAAGTTTATGTGCTCCACTTTGGCGGCCCGGGATTCACAGGTTCGGATCCCGGTTGGGGACATATGCACCGCTTGTCAAGCCATGCTGTGGCAGTGTTCCATATAAAGTAGAGGAAGATGGGCACGGATGTTAGCCCAGGGCCAATCTTCCTCAGCAAAAAGAGGAGAGTTGGCAGATGCTAGCTCAGGGCTAGTCTTCCACACAAAAAAAGAAAAAAAAATCACTCAATAAAGGTCAGCTATTATTCATAGTAGAAGAGAGCAGTAGTGTCTGGGAGAAATTTTATCATCTTGTTAAAGATCAAAGAAGCAAACCAAAGGAGATAACTCCCCCCTACACACACACACACACACACACACACACACACACACACACACTCCCTCCCTCTCTCTCTCTCTCTCTCTCTCTCTCTCTCTCCAGGGGTCGTATTCCCAGGTTGTTAGATGTGCCATTTTGAACCCTCCAGCCACCATTCCAGATACTTGGCTGCCAACATATAGAAGGGATAACAGAGACTTCCTCTAAGAAAGTTGAACTTTCCTATAATGCTTGTATTGGGGTATAAGGATAATACCCACCTCAGACACTGTCTTTTATTTTTTTTTGGGGGGGGGTGAGGAAAATTAGCCCTGAGCTAACAGCTGTTGCCAATCCTCCTCTTTTTGCTGAGGAAGACTAGCCCTGAGCTAACATCTGTTGTCAATCCTGCTTTTTTTTGCTGAGGAAGATTGGCCCTGGGCTAACATCCATGCCCATCTTCCTTTATTTTGTATGTGAGATGCCACCACAGCATGGCTTCATAAGCAGTGCATAGGTCCACGCCCAGAATCTGAACCTGCCAACCCTGGGCCGCCGCAGCAGAGCGTTTGAACTTAACCACTATGCCACCAGGCCAGCCCTGACACTGTTATTTTTAAAATATGAAATCTGAGTGTCAACATATATATGGAGTGGACGATGAGAACTACATGTGGTTTAGTCTCTGTGCACAGAGATGCTTTATAATGAGATTTTCCTGTACTATTCATACATATGCAAACACAACAACACTAACGAGAGTGAAGAAAAGCCAAGGGGCAAAAACATATGCCTGTAAGGGAGCATCATTACTGTCATGAAAAACCCAGGTTTGGAGGGGTCATCAGCGTCTGAAAACCTACACTGGTTTCTTGGCTACCTTTTGGTTCTAGCAGCTCCTAGGTTTATGCCATAGACAGCTAACACAGCAACATGGTTAACTTGGTTTACTTTCACTTTGAGCGATCAGATTTTGGCAAGAGCTGAAAAGCAGTGGAAATAAAGAATTGAAAATCAAGAGTGATTTTTTTAAAACAAGAAGTTATATTTAAAAACATAATAAAAGGAACAGAAAAAAGAACAGTAGAAAATCAAATCTTCTTGGCACTGCCTTCTGGCCAGCCTTTTTTTACCTTACATTCATAAACAATACATATTCAGATCTCCCTTCCTAAAGAGTGAGCTCCTAGGGGCCGGGATCTGAGCCTGGGCCATCTTTGTCTCCCACGAGGTGCTCACTCCTGGGCCTGACCCATACTAGGACCCCACTGTTTCCACTTGCTGACTGAAAGATGGAAGAAGTTAGGAAGACCAACAGGGAAAGGACAAGAGCAAAGACAATCATCTGAAAGTTAGACTCAAATTCCTCAGAACCAGAGCATCTCTAGAGGATCTCACAGAGGGGATGTGAAGGTATTGATGGTTAAGGTGAAAACCTCCTGGAAGTTCTCAGCAGTGGAAATGCTGTTATGTGAAATCTGGTTGTACTTTGCTTCAGTGAAACTAGGCTTTCCACAAAGTTCTTTGACAGTGGATGCCTCTTGGACTCTTCCGTGAGCAAATTTGCACTGCTTCACACACTGCTACAAGAATCTCGGGCTATTTTACATTTCTCTTCCATCCATTATAGGCAGTCAGAATCCATTTCATAGATATTGCTTTCCAGCAAAGCATGCTGAATCCCTTAGACATTCATTATTTACCAGAACAACAACAAAACTCTTAAGATCCATAATCTGTCTCCAGAATATTCAGACAACCTCATTTCCTCCTCCGTCCTATTACTTATCCCCCTCCAGCCATCCCCCTCAAGATCCTGGGAACACACCTGTGGCCTTCACATCACCGACTTTGCTCTTCACCAGGATTCCCTCCCTGCTGCCAGCTGAAACAGAGACTGGACAGTGGAAGGCACTGCTTAAGAGCACAGATGCTAGAGTCAAAATGTCTGCGTTTGAACCCAAGTCTTGCCATTAACTAGCCAGGTGTCCTCAGGCAAGTTACTTAACCTCTCTGTGCTTCAATTCTCCGTCTGTAAACGAGGATGAAGATGCTAACAGTAGCTAACAATAACCTTACTGCATAGGGTTGTTGGGAAGATCAGAAGAGTTATAATATGTGAAATATTCAGACGAGTGCATGGCCAATAACACTGCAGAATGTTCACACTTATTAGTTATCTCCCACAGAGCTTAGCACATGCTGAATAAATGGTTTCATCAGGGCCGGCCCTGTGGCTTGGTGGTTAAGTGCGTGCGCTGTGATGCTGGTGGCCCGGGTTCGGATCCCGGGTGCGCATCGAGGCACCACTTCTCTGTCCATCCTGAGGCCGAGTCCCACATACAGAAACTAGAAGGGTGTGCAGCTATGACATACAACTATCTACTGGGGCTTTGGGGACAAAAAATAAAATAAATAAAATCTTTAAAAAAAAAATAAATGGTTTCATCAGTAAATACACGTTCATTTCTATAAATTTTTCTGGCATACATGGTCACGTACAACAATTAGAAAATGCATAAGATATAGAAAATACTCATAATAAAACACCAGCAATGCCACTGCCCAAAAGTAATACAATTAGTATTTTCATATATTCCATTTGTTGATTAAACAACATTTACTAAGCACCTAATACATGAAAGGTTTCACACTCTTGCGTGAGCAAAAACAGACACAGCTCTTGCCTCATGGAGTTTACAATCCAGTGGGGGAGACACACCTCAACCATGTAACGACAGAAACACATGCGAAGCTGCAACTGTGAGAAACGCTATAAAGGAGAGGTACATGTGTAGTAGAGACATCTGACTTAGTTGTGAAGGTCTGTTACCTGAAAGTTGTGAGGCAGTGACTATTGAGCTGAGAATTAACTCACAGGAGTTAACTCAGAGAGGTCAGAAGGGAAGAGTGTGACCAACAGAAGCACAGCAGATCCAAAGTGCTGTTATGGGAGGGAGCATGGTGAGTAGAAGGCAGTAAGAGGGCCCATTGAGTGCAGTGTGCTCTACATAAAGCTAGTGAGTTAGGGCAGAATGTAAAACCCTTAGTTTAGAAATTATATTCTCTATTCACTCAACAAATTTTGCCTATGAGGAGCCAACGACACACTTATTTTACATAAATTGCACTCATACCATATACTGCTTTTATCAAGAACATCTTTTTGAACAATAAATATACAGTAATTTAACCTCTTATTGTGGGAAATATAGAGTGTTTCCAACTTTCCACTAATATTAACAATGTCATGACAAACGTTTTTGTATATGGACATTTGTCCAACTATTTCTTGGCATAAATTTCTACAAGTGGAATTGCTGGTTCTGCAAATTTGTTAACACGTTTTAATCATAATCTTGTCCGGAAAATTAGCATGTTCAACAGTCAGGATCTGATGCTATGGTCTTTTGAAGTTGGCACCACTGTTATATTTGCAGGCATTCTTGGTGACTCAGAACGTGCTTCTTCATTTTCTTCAGTGTGTGAGAAAGTCCCTTTTAATTCTGATCCCCATGGTCTTTTCCACCAACTCAGATCATGTCATACTGACTCCCAATGAAACATCTTTAGCCCCAGCTCTTGAAGTCTGGCCGTCCTACTCCTGAGCTCCGCAGGACAGGAAAAGCTTTCTTCTCTGTCTTTTAAGGATCTTCCTCTGGCTTGAGACACACTAGAGAGAAGACAGTTTCTGACATTCCTGTCCTCTCCTCTGGCCTCCTACTTTGTCCAGTTCCATTTTCATGCAGTAAATTCACTAACTTGTTCAAGGCAGATGGAGCTCAGATGATTCTATGACAGATTGACGTTTTCCATGCTACCGAGGTGAGAGATCCCATCTTCTCAGGAGTCTGCGTCTCCCATGGACCCCTTTCAACATCTACTGACAAACTGTCCTTTTCCTCTTTCTAAATCCTGTGTGTTTCCTGACCTTTAAACTGCCTTCTAAGGATCCACTTACTGTTGGGTCATAGACAATTTCTAGGCTGCTAATGATTAACACAGCCAATCTATTCACATCTTTCTTTAGCACAGTGCTAATTGCATTACACAGGTTAGTCCTTTTCATCCTCATGGCAACTCTGTGGGGTACGTATCATGAAGGTCCCCATTTTACAGATTGGGACACCGAGGCTTAGGGTCACACAGTTATTATGTGGGGACGGACCCCACTTCTGCTTAGAAACTGAGATGAAGAGAAGGGAGGCAGGCCAAGAAAGAAAAAATACAGGGGGGCAACGCAGAGAAGGAAACGCAAGCAGGCGGCGGAAGCGGCCCCTTTCCTGTCTCCTCCCGACCACGGACGAGCCTCCAGCACGGCCCCTACGCCTCCCAACAGCCGCCTCTCCGACCCCGGCGTTTCCGGCCTCAGGAGGGCGTCATTGGCGAGCGCCCTGCGTCGGCGCCGGCGACGTGCGTGCGTGCGGCGCAAGGCGCCGGGCGAGGAGGCGGGCCTTCCGGTCCTTGGCAAAACCATTTCCGGCGGGAGCCGGAAGGCCGTCCCGGATGGCGTCGGGGGCGATCTGTGCGTGGAGCTGAGTCCTGGAGCTGTCGGCCTTCCCGCGCGCGCTGGTCGCCTCATGCTGCGGGCCGCGGCCGCCAGCCCCTGCTCGGATCGGCGGCGCTAAGGCGCCGGGGCAGCGCGCGACATGTCGTCGGGCCTCCGCGCCGCCGACTTCCCCCGCTGGAAGCGCCACATCTCGGAGGAGCTGAGGCGGCGGGACCGGCTGCAGAGGCAGGCGTTCGAAGAGATCATCCTGCAGTGTGAGCAGCGGGCGGGCCCCGGGACGGGCGGGCAAGCACGCGGGCCGCCGGCGGGAACCCGAGGCTGAGCCCCGCGCCGCCCGGGCGCCCCACCCCTTTTTAGATCGTTTCTTCTTTTCCCTCAGTTTATCCTTGGGGGTGACTGCGGAGGGTTTCCGCTACCAAGTTGTGTGCGCTTCACGGACAGGCGCCGTTCATGCTTGTGTTTGTAAATCCCAGAAGCTCCCACAGTGCTGATGCACTTAAATGGGCAGGTTCTAGAAACGTCCCTTTTCGGGCATCGCGTTACTGAAAACAGGCACTTGACTTGAAGCATCGACTCGCGCGATTAACGTTGTCCTCTGGGTGTAATGAAATGTTTGGCTTTTGATTCCTCAGACCTCTTGTTCTCACTCCACCTTGGTGTTCTTTGACTATTATACGTTTAAGTCTTAACATCCTTTTTAGTTGGGTTGTGATAGTCTTTACTGTTGTTGAAAACTTCAAAATGAAAGAGGTGGTTTCCCCCTCCACCCCCCGCTGCAATTTGAGGACAAAAATGTTTGTAGCCTTAGAATGCGTCTTAATGAACATTTCCTTGCCGCCTCTTCCTCCCAATTTTATCATAACTGATGACCCATTGGGGGAAAAAAACCAGCACTCTTCAGTCCTGTGGTTCCATCTACCCCTTGAAGTAAGCCTAACAAACGGCTCTCAAGTTATGTTGGTGATGAGGTTCGAAGTAATAGTAGTTGCACTTTATTGAATTCAGATTGTGCTAAATCAGTGGTTCCCAAACTTAGCTGTACCTTAGAATCACGTGGAGATCTTTTAAAAATTAAGCCCAGACCACCTAAATTGCGGCAGATAGGGGTGGGACACAGGTATCAGTATTTTTTGATGTTCCCTGGGTAATTCTAATGTGCTGACAAGTTTGAGTACTGTGGCAAATAGTTGGCCTGTGTTATTTCTCGAAAATTCTGTGAAGTAAGCCCTATTGTTATCCTTTTCACACACGAGGAAACGAAGGTTGAGCGAGATTAAGTAGCTTCTCTGGGGAGGCACAGCGGGTTAATGGTGCGGCCTGGATTTGAATGCAGACTTAATGGCTCCTGACTTTTGCATTTTGCATCTGCTTTTCTCACTGGGTCTCCCAAGGAAAGATCTTTCCTTGCTTTTCACTGAGCCCATCCTCTTAACAAAGATGGGAAGATAAGGGAGATGATACTCTACTGCTGTGCTCATTCCTTATATTCTAAGAGGCCCTGGCAATAGACAAGTGCTGTTTCAGAAAGCCAGGAGCATAAGCTGCTGCTCTTACTCAATTGTGATTTTCTCACAGGTTACATAAATTCAGGTCATCAGGTGTTTATTCAATGCTTATTCTTTAAAAGCTAATACCCATTGAAAGTCAATGGGTTGAAGGTCTGACTCCACTCCTTATTAACCTTTTCTCTTACCTTGCTGTGTCTATAAAATGGAGTGAAGCTTGCCCTGCCTGCTTCATAAAAATAGCATGTGAGCGCTTTCAAAGCCATCTACATGACAGTCTCTAAAAGTACTTGTAATTGCATGGACACGGGTGGAATGGTTTTTCTTCATTGAAAATGGACATCTTGATGGGGTGGGAGGATGCAGGAGAAAAGTCAGAAGGAGGGATGGGTCCCGGAGAGGGAACACATCTTTAAATAGCTGTAGCAAGTAGCACATTTCTGAGGGGGCTAGGAGAGGAAACTGGGGTGAGAGGCAGATAGGGGGCAGGAGAGCAAGAAAACTTTTACCTGTTAAAATCTTTTCTTTAGGCTGGGAATTGACATTTGGGAGATCACTTCTAGTTTGACCGTGGAACACCCCCATTACTCATTCCAGCCTTCCCAGGCCAGTCAAATTCTGATGTTCATTCAACCCAGAGTCTCCTGTTCATTCCCTGTCTCTGAGCCTGAAGAGAAAGATGGAAAGAGGCTATGGGGACAGCGGGCGGCTTCCCTCCATCTCCATCCTTCTCTTTAGTGAGAGGAACTGTTAGGAAGGATCCCTCTTGAATACCTCATGTCTTTTGAGAGACCTAATGTCATCACAGGGCACCCAGCTCTGGTGTAACATCTTGAAGATGTTATTAGAGCCCATTGACACTGGTCAATATCCAAGATTGGAACCACTTCCCTGTTCTGCTGAGCTAATTCATTGAATTAGTAGAGATGAAGAGAGTGTTTCTTTTCCTCCCAGGAGTTCCATTTTTGGATATTCAGAAGTAGGATTCAAGACCCTCTTTAAGAGGAAAGAAGCTCTTCTAACAGGAATAGTCACTAGCATAAACCCTATCAAAATTTTGTTCTAGAGCAGTTCTAATCTCAGATTTTAGATGTGACAACCCCCATCAGGTGTAGTCTTTCTGCAGGTTTCCCATAGTGGCTTTCTTGTTCTGCCTAGAGCATCTCCCCTCCACATCTGATCTGCTGGCCCCCTGTCATTCCTACACGTCATTTCTAGCCGTGACTTTTCCTTTGAATTCTTGCACTATGTTCCCTGTCACATTTATCACATTCAGAAATAGAACTCATTTTCTTCCTTAGGCTCTCCACTCCTGTGTTCTCTGACATGTTAGCATCTTCCACCCAGTTGCCTAAGCAGGGAACCTCAGAGTCATCTTTGACTTCGTACTAATAACTATCTGTTCACGTCGCTGCCTGCTTTTAAAATCTCTTATTTCACCGTTGGCAGTAAGAAAAGGTCTGAATTTCTCACCTTGCCCATTCGTGTGTTGGCTCCAACTTTTATTTCTGGCCACTTACCAGACAACTCTGCTAGTCCTTCTGCCTGGGCTGTCTGTTATCCTCCCCTGTAAAACCATGCGAGACAATGAGTGAAGGATCACTGTTTCTCTTCCTTTTTATACTTGACCCCCCATTCCACTTGAGCTCCTTGAGGTCAGGGTCTCTCGTTCGTATTTGTATTGCTAGTGCCCTGATCTAAAAATTAAATTTTCCAAGTGTAATAATAAGGTAAGGTTCTCCTGTATTATTTAGAGGTGCATAGTATTTCATTTCTACATTGTGTTTTGCTATGTTTCTTATTTTTTATTGCTGAGGTAGAACTAGGTAACTATGGGACTAGGAAGCATTTTTGACGGCCTTTAATGGGGGTAGACATTCTTGCAGGGGTATTTCCACGTGTTCCTTTGGCTGGGCTGCCGGTGCCCAGGCCAGTAGGCATCTAAGGAGTGTATGTTCCTGGATTTTGGGCGATTGCTACGATCGGTGACAAAGTGGATTACCCAGTACTTTGACACCTAATAGAAGTGAAACCTACCCAGTCGTCTTCTGGTTATTTTTTTTGGTCCGAATCTTTATAAGATATTAAGTAGTAATAAAGTGTACCTAGGTTATAATAAATAACTTATTTTTTTTAATAGATAACAAGTTGCTGGAAAAGTCAGATCTTCATTCAGTGCTGGCCCATAAGCTACAAGCTGAAAAGCATGACATACCGAACAGGCATGAGATAAGGTATTTTGAAACTATCCTGTCTTACTGGTATTTCCTCCTTAATTGAAATGTGTCTCAGTTTACTTGTCACTTCTCTAATTTAGCAGCAAACCAAGTACTGTTTCTGGGCTCCAGTTTTATCAGCTCCTTTCAAGTAAGAACTTCTGAAGCTAAGGAACTAAAGTGATTTTTCTGAAGGTCCATACCCACCAAGAAGCCTTATCAGTACAATACTGTAAGATTATGGGAAGCTGCTTTAGGTGGGTAACTAGGCCACTTCCTCCTCTGGCCTACCAGGGTTCACTTTTTCAAAGTAATCAAACAAGTAAGCATTCTTGAGCAGATTTACACAGATCATCTTATTACAGGGTTGACTGACTCATAAACATAAATTGCTTTTTATACAAGATAGGTCTATTTGATCCTTTTCAGTTCAGTTTTTCAACATATTTTAGTAGATTGTGAAATCAAACTAGCAGGTTGCAACAAGCTTTTTTTAAAGAAAAATTAGAAAAAAATCTGTATTTTAATAGGAAGGGTAAGTATTATTTCATTAAGTATGCACGTGTGTGTTCATGATGGAAGGTTTGGTGTATTTACTTGGGTTATTCATGTTAACTGTATTTCTTTTTGAGGGTCATGGTCCAAAAAAATCTGAATACCAGACTTCACCTAAACAGCTTAAATGGAAGCATTCTAGAGTCTTCCTCTTTTTCCATATGTTCATCATGTTTGCATATTAAATTTGGTGGTTTGAATGGGAACAGTGCCCATTATTGCTCTAAAATCTACATACTTTTTTGCATATCTGTTAACATTTAGCAATCGTAAAAACAAAGTTGATGGCAATTTAGGGTTTTTAAAAAAACCCGGAAATGCTAGGTGTAGCTTAATTTGTTTATTTCTCTAGCTGAATCTGCCGGATAAGTGCCTACCATCCACGTTTCCTCATCTGTGAGAATGTCTCGTGGCCGACCTGAGTGGGCAAGATGAACAAGTGGCCTGGCCCAGGTTCCATCCTTGCTTCATAACAGTGCAGGAAATCGTGCCTGGCTGTGGCCATGAGAGGCCTTCTGTAGTATTTAAAATATTAGTTGCAGTATTCTGGTCAATTTTAGATGTAGAGAATGCCATTTTACCCTTTTCATCTAAATTCAATTAATTGAAAACTTCAAATATTTTATTTCTATCTTTTTAGACTCTTGGTGATTCTATTCCTGTATCCTGTATCTGTCAGCCAACTCATTTGCTTGGAAAAATACTCTAAATAAATATCTAACGATTCCTTTGACTGAACATCACTGAGGTGCTAAGAGTGGACATCCTTCGTTTCCCGATAACTTGTGTCCATAATCAGGCCTCTCCTCCTGACTGCCTTGTTTCTATTAATGGGATCCTTATTTTCCACAAGTCATCGATGATTTCTTTTTCCCTCAGTATCCTGCGCCTCCCCATATGCAGTCACCCATGCCTGTTCTTTGCCTACAGTCTCCTGTGCATCTGTCCATTAGTTTACATTTATTTTGCCACCCCCTTCATTTATTATCTATCATTTATTATCTATCCTTTCATCCCTGGACTATGGCAGGAGTCTCGTTCACTCAGACATTTGGTGACTGCAGTGTGAGCCGGGCATTAGGGCTGCAGAAACAGTAAGCCAGAGACCTTGCTCTCGAGGAACTGAGAGCATTGATCTAGTGGGGAGACCAATGCTAGTGTGATAGGTGTATTCACAGAAGATGGGAACCTAATTGGTTTTCTTCTCCTTCCTGTCTCTCCTTAAATCCTGCCCATCTCATCCTAATTAAGCTTAAAACACATCCTGTTTAAAAAGCTTTATCTGTGTCAGTCATCTGACTCCCCTCTAAAGTGTTTTAATCCCTTTGCTTCGGAATAGATTAAAGTTAAACTCTTCCGCCTGGAAATCGTTGGTAGTTTTCTAAGTATGCTTCTTGGACAGCTGCATCTGGGAAGTTTTGAGAAATGCAAAATCTTGGGCCCCACCCCAGACCTGCTGTTTCAGAAACTCTGGGAGTGGGGCCCAGTAACCTGTTTTAAGAAACCCTTTAGGTGAGCCTGACAACCTCTCACTCTTTGAGAACCACTGCTTTAATCCATGGCTGCTCAGAGTCCTTGAGAATTAGCTGCCTCACCTGAGGGCGCGTTGGAAATACAGGTGATCGCCTTATCTTGGATCTGCTGCATCTGGGGTGGGGCCCAGGAAGCTGTGTTTAAACATGCCCTCTGGGTGATTCTTCTGTCTGCCTAGTGAAGCACTGTTAGTGGGCTTTTGTAAGGAGTTTACCTTTCATTGTGAATAAAATTGCAAGTGGTAGGAGGCTTTGAGCAGTGGAATGAGTGACCTGGCTTTAGTCTCCTGAATGTCTTCTCTAGAATGCCAGCTCCTCGTTAGAAGGGACTAGCTTTACGTTTTGTGTATTCCGCTTGCTTTGCATTAAAATAAAGGGATTTGATAAAAATAATTTCTAATCCTTCTAATTCCCATGTGCAGTCAGTCACCAGGCCTGTTGATTCTTCTGCCTAATTACGATGATTTCTTGTAAGGTATGTTCCACTTTTCTGTTCTCTTGGCTTCTACATCATGGGCTAAGATTGAGGAAGCACTAGATTGCCTCAGAGGATGAGGTATTTGCTTAGACCATGTAATAAAAATACTTGTACAGATGGAGCGTCAAATTAGGAGGGAGCATCATACTGCCCGTTTTCCATGTTTGTTTATGATAGGGCCTATGGAGGAGGTGGTTTTCTCCACTCCCTTCAGATATTGGTATCCTAGTTTTCCACCTTTTTTTCTTTTCTCCATCTCTGTACTTTCCCCAGACGATGGTTTAGCACTCACTATAGTCTGATAATTCACATCTGTAAGCTCCCGCCGAGACCCCTCCCCTAAACTATAAATCCACAGGTCACTCAAACATACTGCTGTTTCTCACTTAGTGTGCAAATACATGCAGAGTTTCCAAAACTACGTTGATTCTTGAGGTGATCTGAATTCAGACCATGGCCTCAGATCCACCTGTGTGCCGATAGCTTCTACATATCTGTCTCCAGCTTGGACCTTTTTACTTGAAGTTCAGACTCTAACATCCAGTTCCCACTAGACATACCCACTTGGATGTCCACACTGAACTCTTCAGGCCTCCCCCCAGACCTGCTCCTCCCTGTAGTCCTTCCCATCTCAGTAGGTGACGCCTACATTTTATCAGTTGCTCAGGCCAAAAGCCTTGGCATCATCCTTGGCTGCCATCTTTCTCTCATACCCCACGTCCAATTCAAAGGCAAATTCTGTAGTCTCTCTTCAGAGTGGATCCAGCTGGGATCTGACCACATCTCACCACCTCCACTGCTACCTTGATCTGAGCTGTACTCTGGACTATCTAACAGCCTGCTAACTGGTCTGTTTCTACCCTTGCCCCGCTGCAGTCTGCCCTCTACCCAGCAGTCATAGCGAAACTTTTAAAATGTGAGTCATTCCTCTGCTTAGGACCCTCTGACGGCTTCCAGCCACGCGTAGTGAAAGTCACAGCCCTCAGAGGGGCCTGCGAAGCTCCGCATGATCTCCGCACTTCTCCCTGAACCGTTTCCCGTACCCCTGCTGTTCCTGGGGCTCCAGTCACCCTTTCCCGAGTACACCAGCTGTGCTGCCTCCTCCAGGCCTCTCTGACACTTGCTGTTCCCTCTGCTCACAAGGCTCGACCCTCAGGGGCCACATGGCTTCTTCCTCACTTCTTTCCGGTCTCTAATCATGTGTCACCTCTCAGAGGAGCCTTCTTGGATTACCCTACATAGAACAGGAGCCCTGTCACCCTGTTCCCCTCTTTACCCTGCTTAGTTTTCCTTCGCAGCACATCTGACCACCTGCCTTCCTAGATTCACTTGTTTATTGTCTGTCTGCTCTTAACTGATTGTTAGCTGCCTGAGAGCAGAGTCAGAGCTTTGTGTTCACTGCCTTCTCCCCAGCTCCCAGAACCACGCCTGGCACATAGTTGGCGCTCAAATACTTGTCGAGTGAGTGGACCTTGTTGTCTCCTCCATATTTACCAAAACTTCATTCTGGAAGCCATCCTTTGTTCGTGGCACAACCGGTGGTTTGGGTTGTGGTTGCCTTATTTACCGTGTGTCTCACGTCTCCTGCTTTCTACTTCAGGTTTGTAGTGACTTAAAACTACATTTGCCTGCAGGAACTGAGAGGCCTTATTGGCTATGTTGTCATGTACGCGTTTGAAGTTCTGAAGTCATTGTTCCACTGCCTGATTGAGGGGGTGTGGGGTCTGATTTTTCTTTTTTTCCTCTCTTTTTGGCATGTTCTCTTCATCTGCCTGGTTTGGGGATTTAGTCCTGGACATGACGGTGCATGGAATGATAGTCAGCTACAAGAAATGGCCCAGCTGAGGATTAAACACCAAGAAGAACTGACTGAATTACACAAGAAACGTGGAGAGGTAAAGATAGCCGCTCTCCTGGTCTGTCCTCTACTCTGTGCGGGTCCTGTGCTGAGGAGAATGGGCGGGCAGGCCCTTCCGCTGGAATTTGCAGCCGTCCTGGCTACAAATGGCATCACCAACTCCATCTGTGGAAATGGAACAATGGGAAAGGTTTGAGGTCTCTACCTCCGTCAGCAAGAGGGCAAGCCGTTGAGATAACTTGTCATGCTTCAAGATGGCATGAGAGGTACAAGTAGAGAAACTTCAAAGGAAGAAAGCTTGGTCCACTGAAGGTCTTCCTAACACCTTCATAAAGCTTTTAAGAGTGAACCCTGCAATTTCAGAAAAATTCATTAGAAAGAATCAAGTCGGGCTGTGTTTACCCTGGATGGTGGTCTAATGGCAAATTATGAAAAAATGCACTTTATCCTCAGTTCAGCTGAATGGATCATTTTATCAGCTGAAGAGTCTGAGAAGGTAGCCCAGGTATAGGGGTAGAACCTGGTGTCCTCAGCAGGAACCTGGTGGTCACCTAGAACACTTCTCATCCACCCAAGGCCGCCTTCAACAGAGAACAGCACATACTGTTCCCATGAGCATCACCAGGCCATTGACTCCTCTCTGCCGCCCAGCTCGTTTCTTCTTGGTGCCTTGGCCCAACCCCACAGGCAACATTTCTTTCTTAAAAATAAAATAAGCCATGGGGCCAGCCCGATGGCACAAGCAGTTAAGTGCGTGCGGTCTGCTGCGGTGGCCCGGGGTTTGCTGGTTTGGATGCCAGGCGTGCACCGACACACCGCTTGGCAGGCCATGCTGTGGTGGTGTCCCATATAAAGTAGAGGAAGATGGGCATGGATGTTAGCCCAGGGCCAGTCTTCCTCAGCAAAAAAGGAAGATTGGCAGATGTTAGCTCAGGGCCCATCTTCCTCAAAAATAAATTAAATAAGCCACTATTATTTAGTTTCCAACTGAGGTCCTAAAATCTCATGTTTATGAAAATGTTCTTGTTTACTCCCCAGTTAGCTCAGTTGGTGATTGACCTGAATAACCAAATGCAGCAGAAGGACAGGGAGATGCAGATGAATGAAGCAAAGTGAGTAAAGAGATGACACCTCCTTTGGGGCTGGTTGTGGGATCACACTTGCTGGTTTACTGTACTCTCGTGAGCCGGGCCCCTGGTGATTGGTGGCAAACAGTAGCCACACTAGACTCAGGAAGAGTTTCATTTTTGTGCGTGTGCAGCCTGGGATCCTTTTCTACCTGCTCTAAGGATGGAAAAGGCAAGGACAGTGCCCTCAGTCTTCCAGGTTCCCAGCATACCCCTGGAAGGTACCTTGGCCCTTGCAAGTGTCCCCGAGGCATTCAGAGTTTTCCTGGTGGCCACGGCGTATGGGGGCTAGTATCTTCTGAGGTGGAGGTTGGGCCACGATGTCCGAGTGTGTGGCCTTTAGGAACAGGGATGAGTTTGTGGGCAGGATTATTGTTGACCGGGGAGAAGCCTGGCAGACAAGGTAAACAGGGGCTCGCAGTCCTTGGTCCTTTCAGCTGGAGAGGAGCCTGGGTTTCGACTTGCCTTTTTCCTTCATATGCAGAGAGGGATCTCTAGAGGGGAGGACTCGCTCAGGCATTCTTGCTCGGGGAATGATAGAGCTCATGGAATATACAGGGATTCCAGCCTCCTTTTAAGCCGCTGTTACCATTCTTTTTAAGCATGCAAAGCTCCTTCCTTCAAATCCTGCTTTTCTGAAAGGGGTTTTAACTGGTCATTCAGAGTCCGGATGAATTTCGCTCTAGGTGTTTCCTCTCCTAACGGGGTTGTCCCGTAAACCACTGGGGCTGGGCTTGGCTAAGGGAGACGGAATAAACATGGAGTGTGCTGCATGGTGGCTGTGTGATGGCTGAGGTTGTTGGTGCCCAGGCTCACACAGCTTGAGCACCCGCCCAGGCCCTCTGCTTCTGGAGCTGGGCTCCTGCGCGGTCCCATCCCTCCTCTGCATGTCATGCTTTCCAGAATTGCAGAATGCTTGCAGACCATCTCTGAGCTGGAGACAGAGTGCCAAGAGCTGCGCAGTAAGCTGCAGGACCTTGAAAGAGCCAACCAGACCCTGAAGGATGAATACGACGCGCTGCAGATCACTTTCACGGCCTTGGAGGAGAAGCTGAGGAGAACCACTGATGAGAACCAGGAGCTGGTCACCAGGTGGATGGCCGAGAAAGCCCAGGAAGCCAACCGCCTAAATGCAGAGAATGAGAAGGATTCGAGGTGGGAGCTCGGTCCACAGTTAGTGATTCCATCGTTAGGAAAGCAGAACCTCATTCTTTGCAAAGGAAGAAACAGACCTGATAGCTGTAACCACTGGTGGAGGAAAAACCAGAAAACACTAACAAAATTAGAAATAGTGCTAGTGGATATAATGGAGGTTTGGATTTATAAGATCTTTCTCACAGCTGAGCAAAGGATTACCTCCCCAAAGAGCTTTAGCTCCTACTGTTTCTGCCAGTGAATTCTTCCAGTGTTTCAAGGAGAAAAGCTCATTCTTGAAGAATATAAATTAAACCAGAATTAGAAAAACATTAGAATCCTCTCTCTCCCCCCATTTTGTAAAACTGTTCAGACCCATGCCAAAAATTCTGGTCTTGCCAGTATATGAGACTGTAGTCCAACCTCACATGAATATAGATGTGAAATTCCTATATCAGATTCATGGGTGCTTTTCTTTTTAATTCACTGCAGTACTGCTAGGCTTTATCCCAGGAATTAAAAGATGGTTTATTGGGAAATCAATTAAATATATCATATTAGATGATAAACTATATGACTACTTTAGTAGTCCCCAAAAGGACGTTTGCTCAGACTCAGTTCCTAGTTCTGATAAAAGCACTTAAACCGGGAACAAAGCTTTCAATAAAAACACCTATCTGTAACCAACAGCCAGTGATGTACCTAACGGGGAAGCCTCCCACCCCAGACGCTAGGAGTCAGAGTCTCGGTCGAGGGAAACGTGTGTTGAAAATTCCTCCCGAGTCTAATGCATCCATGGTGGAGGTCCACCATCCTACATACATGCGCATCAGTACCAGGAACAAAAGAAGGAAGGGCTCTCTCGAGACTCGGAGAGAGGTTTTGGGCAGCCAGTCAGATAGGACACCAAATGCAGGGCCACTAGAAAGAAGGAGGGGTCATGATTATCCACCTGGAGAATCTAAGAAAATCAGCTGAGAAACTAGTAATAAGAGTTCAACAGAGATTAGAGCATAAGAGTTTAAATCCCCACGTCAGTAGTTTAGAATTGGAAAAGATTATTGCAGTTAATTTGAAAGAATGAGTAAATGAAGGTAAGTCTTAAGAATATTGAGCACTAACCCTACCAAACAGTATATTCAGATAGATTTCAAAATCTGTGTAAAAACTGAAACCGTAGGGTAGAAGTAAAAAATGTGACTGCTGTTTGAGCCAACCCTGATGGCCTAGTGGTTAAAGTTCAGCGCACTCTGCCTTAGCCGCCCAGGTTCGATTTTCAATCGTGGAACCACACCCCTCGTCTGTCAGTAGTCATGCTATGGTGGCAGCTCACATAGAAGAACCTAAAACTAGAATATACAGCTATGTACTGGGGCTTTGGGGATGGGGGAAAAGATGTGACTGCTGTTTATTTTGTGAAAAATTCTAAATCGGAGTATTGGAGGACTTTCTAAACATTAAAAGTAAAGGAAATAGGGGCCGGCCCTGTGGCACAGTGGTTAAGTGTGCGTGCTCCGCTGCTGGCGGCCCGGGTTTGGATCCCGGGCGTGCACTGATGCACCGCTTGTCAGGCCATGCTGTGGCAGCATCCCCTATAAAGTGGAGGAAGATAGGCACAGATGTTAGCCCAGGGCCAGTCTTCCTCAGCAAAAAGAGGAGGATTGGCATGGATGTTAGCTCAGGGCTGATCTTCCTCACCAAAAAAAAAAAAAAAAAAGTAAAGGAAATAAAGAGTGGACTGTATAAAATTTTTAGGTTTCTTGACATCAGAGAACACTGAAACAATCAACTAGGATATGCTATTATAAAATAAATATCCTCAATACAGAGTCAGTAAGGAATAGGTGAGCACTCAGACGGACAGACACAAAGCATAGGTAGTTCATAAAAGAAGAAGTGGGTATAAAGTGGATGCAGTTCATAGGAGAAGGCGGCGAAAAGGGCCTCTCACGTTGCTGATGGAAAGTGCATTCCTGCAACCTCCCAGAAGGCACTTGGGGATGCCTGGGAGCCTGAAAAGTGTTGGACTTCGTCCTAAGGAAGTAATGAGACTTGTTCACAAATATTTTTTTGTGATAGCACGTTATTTGTCGTAGTGAAAAATTAGAAGCAGTACATCCTTCAGGTGATAGATAAATTATGATATTTTCATGTGGGATTTTATAAAGTCATTTAAAAATATGTTTTAAGAATACTTAGTGATATGAAAAATACATAAAATTAATATAACAATAGGATATAAAATCTTTTTATACAACATGATCCAAATTTTAAATGAATTAGATCAGAAGGAATTATATTGTTAATAGTATTTATCTCTGGGTGGTGAGATTATGGTTTCTGTTTTCTCATTTTATGCTTTTCTATATTTTCTAACTTTCTTAAGTTTCTATTGTATTAAGAAAACAGGAGCTGTCCTTTTTATATTCTTTCTGTCTCATGTCTGCTTTTAAGTAAGATAGCCTGGTTTATGCCGTGGAGCTCTTAGGCACTTAAGGGTGCTGAAGACAGGGTTCCTGGAAGTCATTATGCTCCATATTGAAAGCCTGCTTGAGGGAGAAGTGGGCAGGCTAAGGAAGAGGCTTTGAGCCTCACAGTGGACAAGGAGAATAATTCAGACTTTTCTAATGAAAACGGGATGTGAGACACATTACATGTCTGCTCTTGTTCCTTCCTTTGGAATGTTTGCCTAGGAATATGCACGTGGACGTATTATCATCTGATTGCGTATGTGGGGTCCTCGTGCTTTTCTATTAGTTTGCTCAGATAGTTCCTCCTCAGAAGCTTCCCCCCTTCCTGCCAATCCCCCAGGTTAGATGTCGTCCTCCTTCCGGCAGCTTTGTTTACGTGGGTCATAGCACAGATCACCGATTTGAAATAGCTGTTCATGTTCTGCCTCCTTCGGTAGGCTGAGGTGTGTCTCCACAGTCAGGCCCGGCGCTGCTGTGGAAGATGCACTTGGGGAATATGTGAGCTATTAAAGAAGGACATTTCCTTTTGGCTGAAGGCCGGGCCGCAGGTGTTTCTTCTCCCTGTGACCTTAGGTCTCGCCTTTAGCCCGCCTTGCAGACAGGTGCCTTTCCTGTAGAGGACTCTTACTCACATACCCCGCACCAAGATTCTAGTTTTCTCTCAAAGATAGTTCATAGGTCTTCTCTTCCAGTTAAGAAAACTTTGTTAAGCTTTATTTTTTGTCATTTGTCTTGTTAAACTGACTTTTCACCCTCCAGGTATAAAATTAAGAGTGTAATGCATTTTTTCAAGCTACAACCTCATCCCTTCCCAATTCTGATATGCCACCTAGAGGACTTTTCCCTGTTTCGAGAATTATCACTATGGCAGAAGCTTTTAAAAAAAACTTCCTGCAGAATTCTTGACTGGAGCTCCGTGGCAGTGCTGGAGTTCTGGATTGGGGGTCCCCACAACAAGGGTAAAGCTGTCGTTAGAGGTGAAGTTGCCCCAGAAAGGAGAGAGAGGCCAAGGTTGGAAGTTAGGGAGCTCCTGAATTTAGGACTCGGGAAGGAGAGACAGAAATGGTTCTGAAGGAGGAGAGAGTGGGTGCAGCTGCTGACCGCAGTAAAATCTTGCTATAGCCGAGACTTAGGTGTCCAGCCTTGGTAAATGGAAGCTGTATACACTTTGACAGCTCAGGAATCTTACTGTACCTTGGTTTTCTCATCTGTAAAATGGGAATAATAGAACTTAACCTCAAAGCGTGGTTAAAAGGATTAAATAAATCAGTTAAAACCTGTAAAATAGTAAAGCCATGCCAGGTACAAGTAAATTCTAAGTAAATCTTTATTATTAGTCATGCTCTTGGTATGTTAGTGTAAGATGATTTGCTGCAGAAAACTAAGTCTCGGTCATGAATAACCCTGGATAAACCATATGGGCCTTTCTGTCCTGAGAGGCCCTGGGTCCTCACAGATGGGCAGGCTTCTCCCTCACTGGTTCCCTGCTTTCTCTAATAATGTGTGATCCCTTCAGGCTTTGCTCTGAAATCCTTTATAACAGGAGCCTTACTGAGTTACAGGTGTGGCTTTGGGCCTTTGGGTATCTTTGTCCAGGGCAGTTTTCATGTAACGTGCACTATATATTCAGATGTGTTATCAGAACTGGTAGTTTGAGAGCCAAAACCCCATGCTTTCTTTAAGTAGGCAAATAATGGACTTTTTTTAAATAGGAGGCGCCAAGCCCGCCTGCAGAAAGAGCTTGCAGAAGCAGCAAAGGAACCTCTACCAGTTGAACAGTAAGTAGAGATACATGAATCAAACTATGTTCTTAATAGTTTGATTTGCTCTTTTTAAGTAGTTTTATAATATTTTTAGTGCTATGAAACCATTTTATAGATCGTGGAAAGAAAGCTAAAAGGTTTAAGACAGAAAATTAAAAAACATTTATTACTTTCCAGAAAGTTGTTCCAGTTTACACTCCTTATCAGCTGTGTCATTTCTAACTTCCTGCGCCCTTAACAAGTGTCAGCCTCACTGTCTTCCTGTTGACACATTGGTCTGTTTTCTACCCCTCATTGGGGCTGTTGCAGTGTAATGCTGGGCCGGGGTTCTTTCTCTTGCTCTCTCCTTGGTTTATGACTGTAAGTGGAGGTTTGGGCAAACCTTTGATGCTTAAGTGAAAACTGGGGTCTCTTGGAGCAAAAGGAATTGAATCAATTTGGAGCTTTTTCTAATCTGGGCTTGGGGTAGAAGATCTTCCCTGAGATTTGAAGCTTTGTTTTGAGAGTGGTGGATATTTTAATAACTAAATTCCCTTTGCTCTAGTTCAATACGTATTTTCTATTGAAATGTATTTTGGAGTATAGTATTAGAATTATGATCCAGTATTTTTTTAAATGTTGATTGCTTCCTTAGAAATGGAGGAGAGTGGTTTAAATTCAGTTAGGAATCACCTACTAGACAAAGCTCTTCATGTATAAGGAAACAAAGCTGCTTGTATGAAGCTTCTGCGTTAGATGTGCCGTATGTACATTTCTTCTGTATACTTTCATATGTGGAAAATGAATCTCATGTATTTTCCTGAAACTACAAAGTAAATAAATAATTGACCTGGAAATGAGATTTGGTTCCTTAAAAATAACGGCTTAGAAAAGCATCATTTGTCCACCTCCTATTTGCCAGCATAAACAGGTGACTAGGTGTAACCCCGTTTAGACAGGTCGATTGTCCTGCCAAAGATCACACAGGAAGGGGCTGAGCTAAAATGCTAACCTAGGGGGTGTGTCCGACTATACAGGCCTGTTCTCAATCTCTTGCTTCCCTAAGAGTGGAGTTTCTGGGGCAAAGGACATTTACCTCTTTGAAGGGTTTTGATAACCACTTGCCAGATCCTGCTGTTTTCGTGGCCCTGGGCCTTTGCACAGTTCCAAGTACCTTTATGACTATAAAATTCTATCTTAAAGCATTTGCATGGACTCAGCTCCTGTCTGCTACTCTCACCATCTCTGCTGTTGTTGTCACCCTTGGGTGACTCCCCCAAACCAGAACCAAGAAGAGAGAAAGGCCAGGCTTGTTCTCTTTCTTCAGGCCTGCCTTTGTTCTCCTCTACCTCCTGGCCAAGACTGGGTTCAGTTACATGGAATCCTAGAGTCAAGAGCCAAGGAAAATAAATTTACTTTGATTTAGGCTTGAGAACTTGTTACCTAGGAAGTTAAACTATATTTACATAATCCAGATACTTAATCATGAAAAATCTTGTTTCAAGTTCTTGTGAATCCAAAAATTAGGTGATATAGTCTTGGGTTATTACATTTTATTATTTGACTTCTCTATGTAGATTGCAACTCGGTGGGAGGTCATTAAGACCAAAATAAGTACTTGCCTTCCTCCCAACCAGGAAAACAGGGAGGAGGGGGAATTCCAGAAGTGCTTTGCATCCGGTGGGATAAACAAAAGTAAAGGAGTGTGTTCCTATGACTCGATTATTTCGTGGGAAATGTGATGGACTCCCCAAATGTCAGAGGCACCAGTGTTTAAGCACAAAATACCCAGAGTCAAAAATGAATTGTGTTTGGATTTCGCTTTCCTGATTTTTATTATTAAAGTCGTATTTAAAACTGGGATGTGATTGCAGTCGTTAATTTCACTGCCCTGTTAGCAGTCCCTTTTCTCATGCACCTGGACCTTCTCCCTACGCTGTCATTTTCTTTTTTTTTTTTTAAAGATTTTATTTATTTATTTTTCCCCCAAAGCCCCAGTACATAGCTGTCTGTCATAGCTGCACATCCTTCTAGTTGCTGTATGTGGGATGCGGCCTCAGCATGGCTGGAGGAGTGGTGCCTCGGTGCGCGCCCGGGATCCGAACCCGAGCCGCCGGCAGCGGAGAGCACGCACTTAACCGCTAAGCCACGGGGCCGGCCCTACGCTGTCATTTTCTAGTACTCCGTAGCTGCCCCTCACGATCCCCTGTGCCACTCAGCCCATCTCGGGAACTGTTTATCATGAGTGCTGCTGTCCAGTTGTTCACCTGCAGGAGCCTTTCAGCTGCAAACTAGACTTCTTTCTGATGGACAGAATCTCCTTGGGTACTGGTTATGTGGCTATAGACTTAACAAGCCATTATTTCATTGCTTTCCAAGTGGAAGCTGTGTTTAGACCTAAAAGGATCAAAAGGTCACGTTTAAAGTGATTTTCAGTTGAAATTCTGCTTTTGATTGGAACAGGTTAAGCGTTTTTTGTCATATCGCTCAGAGCGTGGCAGCTCCTTCTTTTTCTCCAGAGACCCCTTAACCGTCGCCGCCATAGCTAGGTCACATAGGCTGTGTGTGACTAGGAAATGGTGTGGCCTTGGCAGAAAAGACTCATCACAAAGCTCCTGTTTAGCAGGATCAAAGACTGGGCCTCTCGCCCTTCTTTCCAGGGATGATGACATTGAAGTCATTGTGGATGAAACCTCTGATCACACTGAGGAGACTTCTCCCGTGCGAGCCATCAGCAGAGCGGCCACGTAAGTAGACAAGTTGGGCCAGAGAGGAGAGCTCGAGCTGCGATTTGACAGAGGACATTCGTGGACACGACAAAAGGACAGTCTGATGCCCCCAGGCTCCCTTGCTAGAACACCAGGCCCCTCTTGCATAAACACGGGGATTGTGGCCTCCTGAGTGTCCCCGTCTTTCTTGGGTCACTTCTACTTAATGGTAGGCAAGCTGTCCCTTAGTGCTGCCACCAACTGTTAAGGGGGACAGAAAAAAGTTTAGCGGCCTCCTGAAAAATGGACGGTTAAACCTTGGCGGGGTGATTGTTTAGATCATACTGTTTCATTCATACTTGGGCTCTAGGATTTTTTTTTTGCTAAATCAGGACTAAAAGAATGGGGATTGTTTTTTGTTTTTTTAAAGATTTTATTTATTTATTTTTTCGCCCCAAAGCCCCAGTAGATAGTTGTATGTCATAGCTGCACATCCTTCTAGTTGCTGTATGTGGGACGCGGCCTCAGCGTGGCCGGAGAAGCAGTGCGTCGGTGCGCGCCCGGGATCCGAACCCGGGCCGCCAGCAGCAGAGTGCACACTCTTAACCACTAAGCCACGGGGCCGGCCCCTGGGGATTGGTTTTTAACAGCCAGACATGGTTAGGTCAGTTAGTTTCATTGTCTAAAGCATTATTTCTGGAGAAACTAATTTAATGCTAGGGAATCTTATTTCTTTTAAAACTTTGTGGCTGGGTTTTCCCTCCTGCCTTCCCACTGTTTTCTGGTGATTCAATACTGTGTCGGGTTTCTCGGCTGGGGTTTGGGAACTCAATGGGAAACATACTCCCAGGTACCTATTTTTGTGGACTGTTTTTATTGATTGATTATTTGGGCAAAATGTTTCTAAGGTTTAAATCTATCCTCCCCTCCTCTTTAGTAAGCGACTCTCGCAGCCTGCTGGAGGCCTTCTGGATTCTATCACTAATATCTTTGGGTAGGTTAGAAAACCTTTGCCTTTCCTTGTTAATGTGTGTGTAAATATACCTAAGTATATGTACATGATTTATTACCGTTTTTGAACATACACCAGAAGTTGAGTGGTGCAGAGTATACAGATGCCTTGACTTCAGCTTTTCATCTAGCTTCTTCCTTTTTTCCTCAACTTCCTTCCTCCTAATCTCGCTGCGCGCTGATCTCTGGCCTGACCCTTTAGTCTGTCCGAGTCTCCCCTTTTGGGACATCACTCTTCTTCTGATGCTGCCAGGTGAAAATATTATCCTCTCTTAGCCCAGCATGCAAATGTGGGTCGTCGGTAATTATGCTGATCACTGCTTTCCCGCCTCAGTCATCAAACGTACATGTGCTAACCCGGCGGCTTTGCATGTTCCCGGGAATGCTGTCCCCGAGGGGGCGATTAGGTTGAGCTCCTTATACAGTAATATGCTCTGGTCACTCTTTCTTTTGGCATGTGTCCCACTCCGCCTTGACCACAAGTGTATACTGAGGATGCTTGTGGCTAGGCATAGCATCATCTTAAAGTAGTTTTACAAAAATATCAGCAAGCTTCCTCGGAGCTAGCAGTTACATTAAATTGAGAAAGTTTGCTAGCAGTTTATTGACTGGGGAAGCAGTTGTTATTCGGGATTGCTTTTCAGTGTTGAATTTGGGAGTCCGTGAGTTAGCGAGCAGCATATAGGTATATGCTCTCTTAGCAGTTGTCATTTGAGTGAAGATGCTTCTGATTTGGTGAATTGTTCTGTGGTTTGAAGGATCTAGAAGGGAAAAGAAGCTATAGACCAAGGTCATCTTTGAATCCCTTCTGAGGTTGGATGGACAATAAGCCTGTGTAGTCCTGTCTAATGTTCTCCTTTATGTTACTCCTTAGGAGGCGCTCTGTCTCTTCCTTTCCAGTTCCCCAGGATAATGTGGATACTCACCCTGCTTCTAGTAAAGAAGTGAGGGTGCCAACGACTGCGTCCTGCGTCTTTGTAAGTATGGTTTATTCTGAAACCCCTCCAAGCTTTGTATGGTAACAGAGCCTGACAGTTACAGGATCCTTTCCTCTGCTGGAAAGGATCTGTTCTATTGTTTTATTTATATCAAGCTTTTACACCCATTGGGCCTGTCTGACAGAAGGGATTGATATTTGGTTAGCTTCAGAGGACAGTATTTATGACAACCATCTTCTGTAACACAGCACTGGCTGAGAGAGAGGATTGGAGCATGAGAGATGGGGTGAGGGAAAACTGATGAGGGATGGTGAGAAATTGGAGAGTCATTCATGTGGTTGTTGTCTCCAGTTGGCTCCAGTTTAGAGAGAGAGTCTAGACAGCGGTCTATTGTGGAAGACCAGTAGGACAGCTCTTGGCTTCCTGAATTACACGCGTATCTGTATGACCCCCGACCCTTAGGAGCACATGGTTGGAAGCAGGACATAGTCGTGGGCAGAAGCCGCTGTGACACCAGGGCTGTGAGCTGGAGTTCAGAGCTGGATCCTCGCACTGAAAGATGGTCGGTCCCAGCTAGGGTGACGGAGCAGAGATTGGAGCAGCCTGGGGAAGCGTCGAGTCCCTGGCGCAGGGCTAGCAGACAGGTGGGGGTTTGGGGTGGAGGGGTGGAGCAGAAGGAGCAGAGCTCAGACGGTTGGGCTGACTCTTGGGTTGCGTGGGGTGAGACAGGGGAGCCAGCTCTCAGAGACAGAGACTTCCTGTAGAAATGGGGTGGGTTCATATGCCTTCAGTTCCAGGCATAAGGAAGAGCTTTAATAATTAGATGTTTTCACATAGTGAACTGGCTGAGCAATGAACCATCTGGGACGTTGTAAAGAGAGTCTGTTCTGGAGGAGGGGTTGGACTGGGGGCCATTAAGGCCCCTGCCCGTCTGCACTCCGCTCCTGTGTTTCCCTAACGGGACTAGGCACCTCACGGAGGTCGATGATGATTGGTAAAAGGTCTGATTGCACTTCATGTCACAGTCCCTTCCTTGCCCTCAACTCCCAGCAGCCCATTTTTTGCCTCCTGTCACATTTAAGTCATGTGTATGGGATAATGGAGCAGCTGACAATTTGGGATTCTGTCAGTGTGTTTCTGAGAGAGAACAGGTCACGGCTGACTAGTATCCAACAGAACCAGTTCTGCAGGAGATTGATGAGTGGCAGCCGTGGGTGTGACGGTGCATGATCTCAAGTTTTCAATCTGAGACCTCCTGCGTAGAAAGTTATCATGAAAAAGAAAAGGAAGGGAATTGCATGGAGGTAAAGGTTTAGTTACGTGTCATAGAGCTTTTCAGCAGTGGGCCACAAGAGGGGGCTGGGAAATCAGATCACCAAGCAAAGGAATAATAAAGTGCTGCTTATTCCCGGTTAGTTAATAGAGTCGCACTCCCAATATTTCAAGCATCTTCCTTTTTTAGTCTCAAGCAAATGTGAAGATCAGATTTTGTCTTCCCAGAGTGACTTTTTAGGCAAGTGATTGATGACCTGTTTAAGGATCTAATATTTATAATCCATGTTTTCTTTTTTTTCCCCCCCTTTTTATTATGGAATTTTTCAAACACAGAAGTGGAGAATAAAAGAAATTCCGGGTACCATCCTCCAGTCAGGCAGCTTCAGTTAGCCACCTGTGCCAATCTTCTTATCTCTCTCCCCCACACACTTCTGCTGGAGCAATTTAAAATCCCAGCAAATCCCAGACATCGTGTTTCATCCATAAATGTTTCAGTATCCACGGTCTTTTAAGAGAGTAGATTATAGTGACATCTTCTAGTATTCTCTTCCCATTCTAGGATGGGATGCTTTTTACTTGGTTTCCCTTCTCATCCTGAACACAGATGGCATCTTTTCAGATCATGTGTTCCAGTGTGGATGCCAGTCTCAGAAATTCCCCTCTGAAGAATTTAAATTCTCCCAAAATAACACTTTACTTTTATTGAAGGCCTACCCGTGGTCAGGCACATTCCTTGGTTGAGAAAACCTGTGGGAGTCCTTTTTAATCGATGGGCAAACTGGGGCTTCAGGAAGTTAAGAAACTTGGCAGAGGTCACACTGCTCGTACACGTTAGTGCCGTGTCATTTCCAGAAAGAGCTGCCTAGAATCTCACTATAACTGAGGTGTAGCAATGGACTGGCATTGCTCATGTTAGGACTCCATTTTAGAGTATATTCATGTTAGGAAAGTCATAAAAGCTTTCTTTATCATGAGAAGCCATGCCATACATTAGACATGTAGTTTAATATGTAGTATTAATGCATTCTGGACCAAAAGAGAGGCAGTTAATCATAGGCTTACTTTTCAGCTATTAAGATCATACTAGAAAATAGGTTGAAGTTTCATTATTCTTAGAAGAAATAAAATGAATGCAAAGACAAACTTTAGGCAGTTAGTCTACACAGATTTTGGATACTTTTCAAGAAGCTTGCACTGAATTTAAATAAATGGAACTACAAGAATAAAGTGATCATAGACTCTAACGGGGCCCTGGGCTACAAATCCACGTTAGTTTATGATTGGATCCCCCTCTTTAAAGATGGGTATTAACCTTTGGTTAGGCTTCCAGAGTGTTCATTTGTGTCAGGCACTTTCTTCTTGGGAATGACGGTGGCTGGGTTTGACATAGGCGCTTGTCTTGCAGGATGCTCATGACGGGGAAGTCAACGCTGTGCAGTTCAGTCCAGGGTCCCGGCTGCTGGCCACAGGAGGCATGGATCGGAGGGTTAAGCTTTGGGAAGTGTCCGGAGGTGAGATCCCGTTGGAGTGCGCAGAAAGGAGCTGTGTTGGTGACGTCTGGTTGACTTTGCTTTCAGGCAGTCTTTGAATTGCTCATCTTCTCAAAACATCCAGCATTTTGTGTAAAGAATCATTGGAACAAGCATCGTTCCCATCTCAGTCACTCATTACAGCTGAGTGGATATTTCTTCCCTCTCAGTTCCCAAGTAGTGACTAGAAAATGCTGTTAAGTTATGGATATGTTTGTGTTTGTAAGTGTTTTCTCAAATATGTACTGATCAGAACATCTTTCAAGATAGTACAGGTTTTAGAAGGAAAATACAAAATCTTAGTCATGAACTCTATAATTAAACTACACTTTCAGCCGTGCTTTATGCATTTAATAATGCCAGTGGCCATAGCCTAGAAGAAAGTGAAGTATCTAAGCTTGGGAATAGGGCCGGCCCCGTGGCTTAGCGGTTAAGTGCGTGCGCTCCGCTGCTGGCGGCCCGGATTCGGATCCCGGGCGCTTCCCGGGCGCACACCGACGCACCACTTGTCCGGCCATGCTGAGGCCACGTCCCACATACAGCAACTAGAAGGATGTGCAGCTATGACATACAACTATCTACTGGGGCTTTGGAGGGAAAAAATAAATAAATAAAATCTTTAAGCTTGGGAATAGAGAAGAGAGGGGTGTGTCACCTAGGAAAAATGTATTGAACAAACAGCTTATCAGACAAGAGTCCTAAGATCAAGACTCAGTCTTGTTGATTAGACCTTGTTTCAGAAATGACCTCGGACACTCAGAAATGGAATGGTGTTAAAACAGGAAATGGGAGTTAATGAAGCATGTCTTAGAATTCTGAAGCTGGGCATAGCCCAATTTCAATCCCTCTGGAGATTCAGGTAAATATACATGTATGTTTAATAAAACAAGGTCAAAGATGGGGCTGAGGGTTTCCATAGGAATCACTTTGTCAGTTTGCATGGTTGCAGCACATACCCGCTCACTGTCCAACAGTAAAGAGGACCAGCATGCCTGTGTCCATGTTACTTTCTCTAATCCTCACAGCAGCCCTGTGCAGTGACAAAGGTGGGTATCGCCCCTGTTACATGAAAACACAAAAGCTCAGAGACACTACTTGATTTACATAGGTCCTTGATTTACATGGCTAGTAAATGATTTACGTGGCAGGGGAGTGGTGGAGCTGGGACCTGAGCTGGGTGTTATGACTGCACATCCCTTGCTCCCTCCACTGCAGCCTCTAAGCTGTAGAGCTGCTCAAGAAGAGCATTGGGTTACTGCTTTTGATGTGTTGAGAGCAAGAGCAGTCTGGCGATCTTTTGGTTAGAATAGATTATCAGTAAAGCACCAAACTTGTCTGCCCTGGCTTTTGGTTTCAGGGAAGTGACTCCCTGTTAAATTCCCAGCAGTTACAGCTAGTTGAAGCCCATAAAAATCTATGCTGTTGTACCCAGAAACACCTCATGAATGATAATTGCTAAAACTGTTATAAAACAATAATAAAACCATATCATAAGAATGGAAAGTTTGGGGGCCGGCCCGGTGGCGCAGCGGTTAAGTGCGTGTGCTCCACTTCGGTGACCCAGAATTCGCAGGTTCGGATCCCGGGTGCGCACCAACGCACCACTTGTTAAGCCATGCTATGGTGGCGTCTCATGTAAAGTGGAGGAAGATGGGCACGGATGTTAGCCCAGGGCCAATCTTCTTCAGCAAAAAAGAGGAGGATTGGCATTGGATGTTAGCTCAGGGCTGATCTTCCTCACTAAAAAAAAATAAAAAAGGGGGAAAAAAAAGAATGGAAATTTTATGGGATTTGGTTTTTAAAAATCTAAGCAGATTATGTTTTGATTATGCCTTGCAATTAAATAGAAATAACACTAGAAATATTTTTGTTTTACTCCTCCGTCAGTAAAAATACCTGTAAGAAAATTAGAGATGCCAACCTTTAGTAACAGTGTTACTTTTGCTGCTGAAGAGGAAGTAAACACTAATCGAAATTATTGTTGACATAATTTGTGCCAGAGCATAATTTGTGTTAGTAAACTGAAAAGTTTCTACTTGGTCTACGGAAATAACATAGAATGTTTGGCAGCATTTTTTGTAGTTTTCAGAAACTAATATCAGTCTTGTCCTAACTTATTATAGGACCTTTCTTCCACAAAGGGCTTATTCAGTCTGCAGAGTTTTTTCCCGTGGCTAATATTTACTGAATCGTGAAAGAGACCAAGTCCAAGAGGCCTTTTATGGAATTGTTCAGGGGTCCTGTTTTATACCCTTTTAAAATATCAAAAGAATGGCACTTTGCACCCAGTGGAAACACCTGCCCTTGCTCATTCTGTCAAAAGCAGAGGCTCCATTGGGAATTACATATAAAAATGCTGTGGACGTAGCCTCCCCTGGCGCCTTTTAGATAAAAAAGCTTTAATAAGGAGTTCAGTCTTCTGAGATCAGTCTCTTGTGTAGAATAGCATTTATTGGTCCTTTCTTACATTTTGGCACTGTGTTAACCGCCAGACAAATAGACTGGTATTGTGGGCATGAGCCAAAGAGATATTTATTAGAATTCGCTGAAATATTTCTATTTGTAAAGGTCTAATCTAAATAAAGACCTTAATTAGTGGGTGTTGGGTTTTTTTGACACCTGAAAATCTAATGAAAGCTAGGATCCAGGAAAAGGCATTAAATGTGTTATATTTTGCAAATAAGAGGAGGGGTTCATTGACCAGGTTAATAATCCAGGCCCTAAAATATATTTGACAGCTCCAAACCAGTATTCATATCATTATTTTTACTGTTTAGAAGTACTGAGTAAGAAAAAAGGCTGTTCGTTGAAATATTTCCTGTTCTGTTGCTCCCCTTTTATGAATTCAATTAGAATGGTTCCCTAATTATTTTTCTAGCTTGTCTGTATAGGTCATCCTTAAGCTACCCTTTAAAAGGGAACTTAATCACATCATCACTTGAACTGTTGTTCTGAGTTTGTGCCTGCATCATCATTCGAGTTCCCATGTGGGTGGCCCAGGAGAGGGGGCTGGGTCTGGGTAGAGGTGGTGAGCACTGGCAGGCAGCTGGATGGCCAGCATCTTAGGTTCCTGGAGCTAGAGTAAGTGTGAGGACAAATTCCAGAAACTCCAGACCAGCTTTACTGGCATTCTAGTGACAAGCCAGTTATACAGAACTAAAAAAAAAAAAAAAACCCTTTTCAGAGCTTATTGAGAATTATCACACCTTGGATTCTGAAAATTTTAATGGTCACGTTCTATAAAAGTGATCATTAAGTTGGCACAAATACTCATCAAACTCAAAGATGTATTTATGTAAGTTAGAAAATTGTACTGAGAAATAACAGAACTGAGTAAGTCAGCCTGTCGGTCTTATCGACATGCTTTTAAAATTCCCGCGTTTATCTCTTTTTAAAGGGAGTTGACACAATTTCTTGAAAAGAACAGCTTAAGAACACACGTGCAGAATGCGAGGCTCTGCCTCCACTTACACCTTGATTGCTCTTCGAAACTGACTCAGTATATTTTTGTCTCATAGTCTGTTTGTCCTGCTAGTCTTTGATTCTGTAACGATGTAATCAGCTCCCATTGTATTTCAGGTGCCCCATTTTAACTTATGTATTATCTTTACCTTCCTGTCTTTCCTCAATCTTTCTTTTTATCCAGACAAATGTGAGTTCAAGGGTTCCCTCTCCGGCAGTAACGCAGGAATTACAAGCATTGAATTTGATAGTGCTGTAAGTATCCAATACCCATGGAAATAAGGCAAGTTTAGAGGTTTTTAGAAACAATTTAGGATATCTGGTTCTTGAAATTTAAAGATAACTTACCTGGTTTCTCTGCTATTCTCTGTCTTAAGTGAAATCATTGTCAGAGGAGGATACGGGTAGATTATAAATTCTGTGTTGACCGTGACCGTGTTGAAGGCTGGGTGGGGGAGGCAGGTCTGCAGTAACCCAGCAGTCAGTCTCTGCAGACTTGATAAAGTCTGGTTTGGGCCGAGGCAGTGCGGGTGGGGAGAAGAGGGTCTAAGTAGATGCATCAGAGACCCGGGGGAATAGTTGGGAGGTGAGGTGAGGGGAGAGTTGGTGCCTCTGGGCTCTCTGGCTTGGACGGTGTAGAGAAAATCAGTATTTGCTGTTACTAAAGGCGGCAGAGGGGAAAGTGAATGAGGGAGCATGAGTTCCATTGTGAGCTGGAGGGTCTACAACACTCAAGTAAGACTGAGCGAGTTCAGGAGAAGGGTCTGGACTTGATGGGGGTTGGCGAGTTGACGGCACACCAGTGATAATGGCCGGTGTTGGGATCAGGTGTGTGGTTTTAGATTTCTAGACCTTGGACTTGATTATTGGGGAGTTTGTATTGTGTGAACTGAATTCCTCTGTTTTGGCTAAAATTTGTTTTCTTCGCCTTTTTCCTGTAGGGATCTTACCTCTTAGCAGCTTCAAATGATTTTGCCAGCCGAATATGGACTGTGGATGATTATCGGTTGCGGGTAAGATGCGGTTAAGAAAATTAGTATGGTCATTTCTTGGTATTGGAGGGGGATTGGTTCCAGAACCCCTCACAGATACCAAGATCCGAGGATGCTCAAGTCCCTTAGTGGCCCTCTAAGTGGCCTAAGTGGCCCGTGGGCTCTGCATCTCCAAATAGGCAGGGCTAACAGTATAATCTCCAAACTTCACATGTTTTTCAGGGCACAGAATGTAGGAAATAGCCCGTCGATTAATTAGGAGAGTTATGTGTGTTTTCCTGAAAACCATACTTGATTCCCCCTGCCCTTTCCTTTCCTCCTCGGGAAAATTTGTATTTCCAATTTATACTCTTACTTTGTCCAAGATTGAGTTTAAAATATTTGCAATAGGAAGCCCTGACATTTCCGCAAAAGACTTGGGATACTCTTATTCAGAAAAACCAGATACTATTGGTAGATATCAGTTTTAGCTTAACTTCAGTGATCTTAACACCAGCATATAAATTATGTTTGTTATGGGCCCCCAAACTTAATAATTACCCCACAGAGTATAGCTGGAAAGTAGGACATAGAAGTACGTATGAGTGTGCTTATGATAGAGATAAAACAGCTCTGAAACAGCAAAAGCTAGGAGACAGGTACGGGAAGGGAGAACAGTGGGCTCAGATGTTGAGGAAATCTGCATCTGAACCCAAACCTACCGAGAAGTCTCTTGGCTTCCAAGATGAAAACCAAGACATGATGATTATATCGCTTTTGTTCTAATGGAAAACAACTTACCATGGAGACGTGTTTTTCTCCTTAAGTTTGAAGGAGTCTTCTCATGAGCTCATTAAATAAAGACTACTGAAAGATAAAATGGAGGAGGGACTTGACGTTGGTAGGCACTTTACCCAAAAAAGTTTGATGCAAGCTCTTGTGTGTCAACTCACGTGAAAAACAGGGCATGATGTTAAGATGAACTTAAAGATAAATCTATAGAGAGGTTGGGGGTGCTGCACTAGAGTGGTCCATTAGTTCCTGCTAGTCTGATTCGATGATGCAGGGATGGAGCTAGAAGAATCTTTAGAAACACAGTTAACTTATCACTTAGACTTTCACAACATCTTCTTGAAGGAGCTGTATGCAAAATTACCAGTATTAGACGCTAGCCAATACCTGAAAGATAGTGGTAATTCTTTATTCTTAGTAGAAAGAAGATCCAGAGCTACACGTGCAAAGTATGAGACGTAAAGATGACATTCTCTCCTGAAAGCTGAAGAGCCTGCTTTGTGTTCTTGTCTGAATGAAGGAGCAGGGAGGTGGACTGTGGAGGCCTGCCTGCAGGCAGGGCCGGGACTCTCCTCCAGCAACAGTTCCCATCTGTGCAGATGCTCGAACAAGTTTCAGTTGAAGCCCTGTAGTTCTGCGCCCTAAACATGGAACAGATGGCCCAGCTTGTTCTCATGGCAGCGTTACAATCCGTTCTCTGGTATACCATACTTTCTTTAACCATTGATCTCTTATTGGACGTGTAAGATGGAGTTGAATACTTCTGCAATTGTTAGTTTGCCTAAAAGAAAAGGGACTTTTCTTGAGTGGCTTCTATGTGTTAGACCCAGTTCTGAGGTATATTATGTACATTACTGCTTTAATCCTCAGGGGAAACAAGGGTGAGGTAGGGAGATGAGGGAACTGAGGCTCAGATGAGTCCAGAAGATTACCTAAGGTCACACAGTTAATTAAAAAAGATGAGGATTGCGATTGAGGCCTGTGCTGTTTCCTGTGTTTGATTGGCCTGGATTATTGTAGAGTGAAATACAGTAGAACTGTCTAATTAGTGAAGAGGGATGTGCAATCTTCCTTATTACATTTTAGGTAGGCATCAACTTTTGGGTCTGAAATAACAAGAAGGGGACCTGGAGGAGGCAGGGGGATAGACTTGGAAGACAGGTCATGTTGGGAAACTTCAAGTGAGCTAGCTTGCAGAGGTGGACCGAGTTTCATTGGAGAGGGTGTTCTCGATGTGCTGGGGCACCATACTTGAGCCGTTGGCTGACGAATTGAGGGGTGATGCTAGGGCTGCTTTGCTGGACTGGCTGCTCTGAGGGCCTGTCATCTGCTCACAGCCATGTCCTGTCCCTCAGTAAATGTCTGAAGGAGGTCAGGAGGCCTTTTAAAACGGGTTCTACATACCCAGAGAACGTGCATGAAGTAGGCTCCCTGCTGTAGGAGGCTCTGGCGTCTGCTTAGACCCTAGTTAACAGGATGTGAATGGACACCCATATTCTGAAACTCAAGATCCAAGCCCCGGTCAGTATCTTCTTGGCTTTTATGTTAAGGGAATGGTGTTGCAGCAGCTGATTGTGGGTTGCTTTAAAATCCTTTTGGAAGAGGTATCCTAGAAACAGGCTGGTGTTGAAAGGAGTCTGGTACAGAGGAGTCTTCTCAGTACCAGGTATTACAGTCTTGCTTAAAAATCTGAAAGGTCAGTGCAGAACTGCCGGCTGCTCTCTGAGGTGTGACTTGTTGAAGAGCCCACTCTGCTCTTTTCTGAAGGTGCCGTGGCGAGGTGGCCCCAGTGAGGGCTGGCTTTCAGGTGATGAGAGGTGGAGATGAAGCTGGTCCGCCGCAGGCAGGGGCCGGGTTTCCACCAAGAGCAAAATTAGCACAAGTCCAGATTTTTTAAAAAGGAAGCTAATAATCTGTATGAAGAGCCAGGAAATAAAAACGTCTCTCCTTTATTCCATTAGTCTGGCAGGAAGTCAGTCAAGAGGAAGCTGTGTCTCAGAGATGTTTGTTACAGTGTCATTTGTACTCATGAAACTTTTAAAGTGGCGTAGGTGTCTGCTGGCCAAGGAAATTTCCATAAAATTGTGGTCCCAGCTCTGGAAGATTATTTAGCTATTAAAGTAATTATGAAGACTCTTAAGATGGAGGGGTGCAAAAGGGAAGAAAAATAACGCTGTCAACTGTGTGCCTTGTGCGCAGGGCACCATGTTTCATCCTTACTAACACAGTATAAGGAGGAGATGAGTCACAGATCTTATTAGAGACCCGGGGGTTCAAAGCCAAATCAGTGTGACCCCGAAGCCCGTGCATTATCAGCTGTCAAATGAAAAACTGCCTAAGCTATAATATTAAAAGAGCTATGGATAAGTTTTCGGAATATTTCACGTGAAATATATGAAAATATTAACGTGGATTTAGAGTACGCAAAAATGAGTGCATTCACCTCACCCATTTATGAGCAATGTCTTTTCCTCCTTGTGTTTGTGAATGTGATTTTACTTTTGTAGTAAGAAAGAAAATAGTGCATTTTATGATGAAATAGTTCTTTACTAAGAACTTAATTTACGTGCTTCATACTTCTCACAGCATGAGAAATCCTCCCAAGTTTTCCATCTCTCCCCAAGATTTGTACAGACTGGATGATTTATACTGAGTGGAATCATTATTCCTGTGCTGTATTTAATGTACGCTTTGTTGCTGGAGTTTTCTTGATCTTACCAGAAGGATTGGTGGGAGGTTTTCACACAGCTACACAGCACAACTGCCTCCTGGCTCACAGCAGTTGTAAGATGCTGTTCCAGTTTGAGAGAGGTTTACATGTGAGAGAATTAAGTCTTAGAATCCATGCAAATGTCTCCCTTTGAAAGGGAAAAGTACATGTGGCTCTAAGTTTTCTGTTCTAGACTAAAGTGGAGTTGCTCCACTGAGTGTAGAGGAAAGAATCGGTTTCTAAAATTTGACACTAAACTATGAGGTCTCATCTTTGAGACTTGGGGTTGGAACTCAATAAGTTAGCAGTTGTATTAAGTATGTTAAGTCTTTTAAAGGCTTTTTTACTTTTTTTTTTTTTTTAAATTAGCAAACTTCAGTGAATACCCTCTGAGCTTTTGAGGTTTTACACACACAAACATGTTGATCCACATTGAAAAGAGGTCAATGATGAGTAGTAAAAGGGCTGACTCCCCAGATCCCCTCCCACATCCTCTCCATCCCCAGCCGCCTCTCTCCCATCAGGCTCCAGTAGTGCTGTGATGGGCAGAGGGGCATCTGACACTCCATGACGTCCCAGTTCCGTCCCAGTTCCGTCTTCTTGGTGAGCCCAAGGAAGATGTGATTGGCGTCCCACAGCTCCTCAGAAGGGATTTGATTGTTGGGTCTGCTGGTATCTGTGGTTATGATCTGATGTTTCAAGCTGAGACCTCTGATTGAAAAACCCCCAGGGGGTTTAATTGTTTGTTTAAAGAGTCTTGATGTTTCCTTTTGTAAATTGTGCCTGCAGGGAACCTATTTTGATTTTAAATAGGGAACTGACTTTCAGAGGCACTGGATAAAATCCAGGCTTTTAAAATTTTGTAATTTGTTTGATATAATCCAGACTTACAAAAAAGTTGCAAGAACAGTACAGACAGGTGTCTGTAATAGAACTTGTTTCAGAAAGGTCCTCCTGCTATCCCTCCCTCTTTTTTAGGGTGGGGCACATGAAGGTTGTGCTAGTGATGTTAGACTTTTTTTTTTTTTTTTTTTTTAATGTAATTTGTGGTGGAAGATTTATCCTCTTCGTCTTGATGCCTCATCTGGACAACACCCAGAGATAGGCTTTCTGGGCGTTTCCCCGAGCTACTCATGCTTTTCTCTCTGAGTGTTCCTGACTGGACCTGGGGCTGTTTGGAGAGCTGGCTCCGTGACAGTGTCGTGGACTCTCCCAGCCTGGTGCCCCGAGGCTTACCCTGGCTGTGTTCTCTCCTAGCACACCCTCACCGGACACAGTGGCAAAGTGCTGTCAGCCAAGTTCCTGCTGGACAATGCGCGTATTGTTTCTGGAAGTCATGACCGGACCCTCAAACTCTGGGATCTACGCAGCAAAGTCTGTGAGGAAGTTCATTCTCTCTGTCTATATGTACGATTAGACCTTACCCACGGAGGGGTTTGTTTCCCCGTCAAAGCCTGTATTTAGTGTGATTCAGATGGAATTTCAAGTCCAGTTTCATATGCAGAGTGGCGCTGAGGCAGGGACAGCTTTTTGTGTCTGAGGCTTCATTTAAATGGGTAGCTCTGGTTACTTGGGACGAGAGGGTGGTGATGTTATGTGCACAGCCACGGGGGGTCTCTGATCGCTGATGTTCAGTTTTCTTTCAGGCATAAAGACAGTGTTTGCGGGATCTAGCTGCAATGATATTGTCTGCACAGAGCAGTGTGTCATGAGTGGACATTTCGACAAGAAAATTCGTTTCTGGGACATCCGGTATAATACCCAAGGGCTTGGTAGGGAAGCAGATGAGGGGGTCTGTATGTGGTACAACTGTAATGATGTTTTGTATATGGAGTGTGTTTTTAAAGTCCCTGGAAATGGCAGACATGAGCTCAGTTCACGTTTATCTTAACAGTTTGCTGTTCTTTACCGTGAAGTAGACTGTTGCATTCCACAGTCACCTGTGAGCGTGCACTGTGTACTTAGTAGGCACTTTCCTAGCTGCTAAATAAACGAAGATGAACAACTAGGTAGTTAGGTTGTTTAAATTGTAGTCGGGAAGACAGACACAAGTCTGCACAGTGTGCTGAAGTAGAGCCGGGCTCCTTTGTCTAGGATTTTAGAGAACGCCTCCCAAGATTAGTCTTGAGAGGTGAGCAGGCTTCACATTGCAGAAGAGCCACTGACAGACAGACGTTCCCAACCAGAACAGCAGGGCAACCTGGTATGGCTGAGACAGGGCAAGTGAGGGCGCCGGCAGATGAGACTAATCGGGTGGGTTGGGATCAGATTGCCTGCAGGCTTTATGTGCCATTTGTAAACGACTTGATCTTATAAGCCACTGGGTGTTTGCTTTAGCAAAGGATTGCTCCACAGAGTCTAGTAGATTTGGCGGCAGTTTAGAGGGTGTTTTGGGGAGCAGGGAGATGAGTAAAGACTTGATGAGGATCTGAACTCAAGGCAGTGGAGGGGTAATCGATTTAAGGGAGGATTTGATCAGGGCTTGTTGACAAGTTGGATGTGGAGGGTGAGGAAGGGGAGAAGTAAAGCAAGATGGAGAATACATGGCAGACTTAGGAAGAGGGTGCAGAGAGTGTGTTCAGGTAAGGACATTAGTTTGTGGTTTTTAATAGACGTTTGTAAAAACGGAAGCAGAATGTTTTGAGAGAGGTTGCATGGGAGAGAAAAATCACACAGGAGGACTTTGAAGGCGTGAGAACAGGTTGCTCCAAAAAGACATGTAAAGCAGCATGGAGGACAGCGTTTAGGGAGCTGCCCCAGGAGGAGTGCCAGAAATGGGAAGAAAGGCGGAGAGTCCTGTTGATGAGCCTTGATTAGGGGTCATAGAGGGGTCGGATGGCAGGAGGAGTCCAGTAGGATGAGGCTGGTTGTATAGGAGGAAGGCAGTTGGTGACCTGATTGAATATACTGAGCAGTGTGCAGAGAGTGGGGCGTGAGGAGGCTGTGGTAATAGATGAGGCTTAGAAAGGCCCCTGGACACCTCTTCCAGTTTTATTTATAACCTTTGGCTAGCTTTTTTAAACCTGAAATTTGAACCTGGAACATGGAATTTTAGAGTTAACTGGATGTTAGAAGTCTCCTAGTCCACCCCTGATGTGACAGATGAAGACCCCTAGTTCCAAGGCATTAGAGTGGCTTGCCTCTGGCCACGTATTTAGCAATAATAAGAAAAACTCTCTTACTTAGTTAAGGTTCGAGGTGGGAAATAATTTCATTGCAAGCTTACAACAAAATGAATACAGAAGGGATTGGCACCTTCCTTGGCTGTATCACCAACAGGGCCTTGCCCAGGATTTCTGTTCACAGACCTGGGTGTGGACTGGGGCCCAGAGGAGAAGTGGGAGAATAAAGGAAGAAGAGAGAGTTGCCTATGGTGATGACTCTGCCCTGGCGTCCCAGTTCCATGTCTAGAGTCACCAAACCACACTTGGAGGGCCCCCAGAGATGAACTCTGAATGGCAGGGAGCCTGCAAGTGACCACACATTTGTCCGTATAAGGCAGCCCAGACCTAATAAAGCAAGTTTATGTGCCTTTGGATACATTGAAATGAAAAAATTGAAATATTACTAGTTGGGTCATAACCCTGCTTAGCTTATGCTGATCAGAAGCTCTGATTGGTAGTTATTGTATCATTCCAGAAATGGACAAGGAAATTAATTCTTACCAAATTCAGAGTTCTAGTATTCAAAACTACTGCCATAGAACCTATTGATGGGAAAATAATACAGGTGGTCACAGAGGTTATTTTAATAAGGTTGGACACATTCACTGCCCTTGAAGAGTATTGCATTCTAGTTGAATTGCCCTTTTTTCCCCCCCTTTTCTCCATGGTATAACGTCTTGGTTAAAATGGGGAAATTTTGACCTTTCTACCTTACATTTTCTCCAACCTTCCTTCTCTTTCGTAGATCAGAGAGCATCGTCCGAGAGATGGAGCTGTTGGGGAAGATTACTGCCCTGGACTTAAACCCAGAAAGAACTGAACTCCTAAGCTGCTCCCGTGATGACCTGCTCAAAATCATTGATCTACGGATAAATGCTGTCAGGCAGACCTTTAGGTAACTGAAGACATGCTGGTTTGGGTTTCATTTGAGGCTTGCTGGTTTTCTGAGGCTTGCAGGGACTTGAGGCCCCGCCCCTGCCCTGATCCCAAGTGATGCGAGTTCCCGCGGTAACGGTGCCCTGTTGTTTGTTTTAGTGCACCTGGGTTCAAGTGCGGCTCCGACTGGACGAGAGTTGTGTTCAGGTTCGTGGTGCTGTTCCTTCTGCCCCACCCCACCCCCCAATCTGGTTCACCTCAGTTAGGGCATGGGCGTTTTCCCATGGGGAAATGAGCTAAATTACAGTGTCTCAGCCCAAGTGAGTGTCCGGGAGTGAACCTGTAGGTTCAGTACTAGAGGTCACTGTCTCTGTCTCCTTCCTCTCTAGTGTTCCCTTGTGGTTACATGAAAATGAGTGTGTTGTACCAAAAAGTAACGGTTGACTGGCTGGTCTGTTCTGGGCGAGCACTTCATGCATTTACGTAAGAACTCTTTGAGAGTTCTTAGGGAATGGGGGAAAGTTCCCTGGGATGGAGCTGAGTTGGTTCTCTGAAGAACTGGAAGGGGAACCAGTTTCCCTTCCTGGTTCTCTCTTCATGGTGCTTCTCCCAAATAGGTTGCCGTGGTCAATTCTAATGTGGAGAAGCTTCTCCACAATCGATGCTTCTCTCTGCCTTTCCTTTCCTACTCTCCACTGACCCTGTAACCAGGCAGTCCTTGGCCATTTGGGAGTTGACTTGCCCTCCCTGTGTGCTGTCTTGGAGTCTGATCGCTGGTTAGGGATTTGTGGCCTCAAGGAGTAAGGTGGCAGCACCATTCTTCTTTAGCTGGGTGAGGGCCACGATGGCAGGGTGAAGCAGCTTTAGCCGTAACAGTCGTGAATAGCACGTTCTGATTTCTGGGTACACAAGAATGGTCCTGTGTTTGCCTCACAAATGAAGAGTAGACATTACTTCTTGGGAAGAGGTCCATGAGAATGCTGAATTGGGGCAGGCCGATGACGCCTTGTCTTCCTGTGTCCTCCAGCCCTGATGGCAGTTACGTGGCAGCAGGCTCGGCCGACGGCTCTCTCTACATCTGGAGTGTGCTCTCAGGGAAAGTGGAGAAGGTCCTTTCAAAGCAGCATGGGTAAGATGAGCCCTGTCAGCCCCTCTGAGGTCATGAGCAGACCCTGTGACTTCATCCCACGGGTCTTGTCCTCTTCAGGCAGGGCCCTGAGTTGGCCCCATGAGGGCAGTGTCCGCTCACTTGCTCTGCTGTGAGCTAAGTTAGTGGAGAGAAGCTGAGGCCTTCACACAGTACGACAGACAACGGTGTACTGCTTATTTATGTTACAGAATGTTCCAGTTAGAGCAACGCTTTCTGTCTCTTTTATCTTCCATCTAATAGCCAACCCCAGGCCCCTTTTTTTCTTAGCTTTGTCCTGTCCCCCAAGCCCCCCTGCTAGTTAGAATACAGACCCAGTTTCCTCCATAACCACCTCTCACTGCCCTCGAGCAGGGACGGTTTTCCATCCTCCTTAGTCACTCACCCCGAGGTACTGGTCAGAGGCCTGGAATACCCCTCTCTTTCCTTAGTTCACTCAGAGCTCCTCCCTTAGGGTGGACTTAATAAGGCCTGACTCCTTACATTCCAAAACTGCTTCCTGAAATACAGTGCAGGGTTCCTTCAGTAAGTGCCTGCCTGTGAGTGGGGGCAGTGCTGGCGAGTGAAGCGGGCGTTGGGAGAAGTGTGACTCTCTGAGTGCGAGGGAGCCTGGTCTTAGTTCACCGAGATCTCACAGATAATCTGACCTCTTCCTTTGAAGCTCGTCAATCAATGCGGTGGCATGGTCCCCCTCTGGCTCCCACGTCATCAGTGTGGACAAAGGAAGCAGAGCTGTGCTGTGGTCAGAATATTGACGGCACCTCCTCAGGAGAGAGCGGATCCAAAGCCAGAGAAGCACACGGGCCGCCACAGCTCTGTCCTGGCGGGGGGTGTGTTGGGTGTAGCTTTGATCTCCAGAGAAGAGCTCGAGCCGTGCGGCGTGATGGCCTTCCTTTGAACAGGATTTCTGAGGATTTTGGCTGAGGTCTCTCATGGCCTGAAAGAATAACACTGAAAAAAATCTGACACTGCAGTCACTTAGCAGAGGTTCAGGTTCTTGCCTTGGTTCGGGTGGGAAACACTACTGGCTCTGATCTTCCATACCTCACTGGGGGAGCACAGGCACCGCTGGTTTCCTCGCTGGACGGCAGTGCCAAACACCCCACACGTCTAGGTGTCGGTGCTCCCTCCATGCTTCCTCCCATCCTTCCAAAGTCGTTTCTGGCCTAATGCATGTCCTGTCACCGTGGGGTCATTTTCCCCTGAACTTGCTTTAATCATTGGATTAACAGAAACCCAGACAGGATTACTCCTGCCCTCAGGTAGTCTACAGGGGCTGCCCTGATTTCTGAGGAGACGTGGGCCTGTGGTTGGCCTGCTGGTCTGCATCGTTATTACGAGGCTGTTGCTCTGATCTCACGTGATTACTGTTGGAATTTCCTTAGATCCCCTAAACTGTTCTTGGAAAGCAACCGCTCTTCGACGCTTCTGATTCCCTTTCCCCTCAGCGATTCTACAGATCTACTTCTTGGTCGAGAAATAAGTATCAGTTTGGTTAAAAAATATTTTTCTGAGGTAGAGAGGAAGTGCAAAAACCTTTTTCCAGAGAACTGGGTGTGCTGCAGGAGTAAAGGATGTGTCTGTGCTATTCCCAGGAGGCACACACGCCGCAGTCTTTCCAAGTGTGCTTACATTACAGTTGCTGGTGACAAGGGGTTTGCAGCCTCGAAGGTATTACTGTGGAGCCAGTAGTTCTGGGTCGCTGCCCCTTTGCCAAGCCCACGTGCAATACCCCCCCCGGTGCTTTAGTGCGAGAAGCCCATCCCAGGGAGCACAGGAATGTCGTCTGTTGATTTCAGGAGTTGTGGTTAAGGCCGGGAAACAGCAGGCCTGTGGCTTTTTTTTTAAACATTTATCTTCACCATTTTACCTGTATATAAAATTTTAGTTCTTTGAGTGAGTGAAACACCAATATTTTTATCACTTTTTAATTTGCACTTTAATTTTTTTCCTTCCAAACTCGTTCTCTGGACAGTTGTGGATGTATGTGCTATGAGTGAGGGGATGAGCCGCGCTTTTCCTCCGATGGGGGCCTATTCTCCCCCCCTTCCCCTGCCCTCGTCCCCTTTCACATTTGCCAGTTCAGAGAATTCACAGGCCAGGGCACATCTTTTATTTATTTAATTATGTTGCCCCACAGAACTTGACTGTAAATAAATAAATAAAGCTGTTATATACTTTTCAAACTCTATGCCTCTTGGTCGTTATATTTTTCCTTTATCCTTAAGGGGAAAAACCTATTTCTTTCATTTGTTTTCCTGATACTTATTCATTTGTAAATAATGGTTAGTACTTTCCTGGTGTCTTCCCCATTGTTCATCATTTAAGCCCAAGTTAGCGCTGCCTATAAACATCAGCATTCCAGTTTCTTGACATTTGCACATCTTAAACCAGGAAGAGATGTCTTCAGAATTCCACCAGCTGTCCTCTTGGAGCCCAGTGAACTGGTGTCACTCCTGCGGTGTGCTCCTCACCACAGCAGGTGGGAACTCCTGGTCCCTCCCTGAGGAATGTCCACAGGGTTGATAATGGACTCAGTGTCTCCTTCTGGCCTCCAGGCATCTTTGCTCAAGGGGAGTGAATTACCTCACTGAGAGTGATTTGTTCCTGGCAGCCAGATATCTAACACGCAGCCCTGTGCCGTAACAAATTTGCATCTTCCCAGAATAGCCCCAAGAGACCACTGTCCAGTTCCATTACCATGCTGAGTTTACTAACAGGGAGTCGCCCAAGCGTCTGCTCAGCCCCGCAACCTGAGTCAAGATTCCATCGAGATCTGAAGTCTCAGAGGCAGCCAGCAACCCCCGCAAAGTGGAAGGAGCCCTTTGAAGTCACCTTAAGGAAGTAAGTCGGTCTTTACTGAAGCCCAAAGTAAGCATTGCAGTAGCCTCCGGTTGTCCTGGTTTCTTTGAGCTGAGAGAGAAGCATAGCTGCTCTCTCTGCTTTTAACAGAGATGTTTCAGTTTGAGATTCCTCTACACTCGAAAGCTCTCTTCAGGTCTGACTGCCAAGGTTGAGCTGAAGGTGTGGGCTCCCACCGCAGTGGAGTATGACTTCTGTCCAACTTGTGGTCTTCACCTTCCCATCTCTCAGATACCGCCTGGGACCTAGCCCTGTGCTCCTGGTTCCATTGGCCAGGGTGGAAGGTTGGCATAGGGTTTTTTAAGTTTCCTAGATGATTCCGAGATGGTTAGAGCTGGTGTGCTCCCTTGTGTTGTATTTCAAAAGTTGAGAATTTTAAAACTTTTTTTAGTGAGCTTATATTTCCTAGGTCATTTCCCAAAATAGTGTGACAAATGGAGTTGGATGCCTTATTCTTAAAGCAAGTACTGTGCACACACCAGTCTTTGTCCTCTGAATCTTGTAAAGCCCCTCTGCGTCTCCCACGTCATGACACGCAGGAAGTTTGTATGGACACCGGGGGGAATGGACAAAGCTGCTTTCAGCTGAGAGGGGCCAGCCCAGGCCTCAAGGGCTGGTTGGTTGGGAAGTTCCAGATTGCAGAGTATACCAAGGTGTGCAAGGCTACCTGTGAGTCTTCACATCTGTAGCACCACCGTAGTCTTGGGGCATTGGACATTTTGAAATGTGCGCTTGAAACTTATCGCCTGTGGGGGCACTGGGAGAGGAGAGTGGCCATGAGAAACACCTTGTACGAGACGGCTTGTGGGCTGCAGAGACCACAAACATTTCTGTTCTTCTGAGGTGGCTTGGGTAGTAATAAGGAGCCTGTGGCTCTCGAGTTCTGTGAGATCTGAATTGCATCCTATTTCACAAATAGGGGGAAGTTCCACAGCCAAGCAAGAAGCTGTTACAGACTTCTGACCCCCCAGTTGGACATCGCTGTCGGGCAGGCCTCCTCTGCTCTGCCCACAGTGTGAGACCAGTGCCGCCTCTGGGGGGAGGATGGCTCGGTCGCCTTCATGCCTTTGCTCCGTACATCTTCTCTCTCGTCCTCCTGTAAGTCCCACTCACACTCGACATCCCCCGTTTTCAAGCCAGTAAACTTTGGAAATCTCGAGTAAAGTGGAGTATGTCTGTATTTCTATAGATTCTGTAAAAACACATAGTCTATGTGGTGCAAGCCAGTAAAAGATCAGACTGGAACAGAAAATGATTCTCACCTGCCTCACCTCAGCGAGATTTGATTCTCTCACCTCAGGGAGCTCTGCCTTTCATGGCACAGCCGTACCACTTCCATCCGGGCCTCTGCACCCTTCCCTGTCCTCAGCCCCCATACTTCTCTGCCCCTACTCTGCTAACCCTGACTGACGGGCAGACACGGAATGTCCACGTGCGAAGGAGGCAGCGGAAACCGTGGTGTAGTGAGCCCCGATGCTCCTACCCACCACTCAACAGTTGTGCCAGAGTATTTTACAGCCAACTTCAAGCATGTCATTGTCCCCATAAATCAGCGTGCACCTCAAGCTAATAAGGACACCGTGCTGTAATTATACCTCGCAGGATTCGCAGTAACTCTGTCATCCACCGTCCAGTCCATTATTCAAATTTTCCAGATTGCTTCAACAACGTGTTTTTTATGAGTGGTTTGACTTGGAATCCAGTTAGCTTTTGCTGAGTAACAAACTACCTTAAAATGTAATGGCTTAAAGCAACCATTATTTCTCAGGATTCTGTGAGTTGGCTGAGTTTGGGCTGCGTGGCAGAGGGCGGCCTCACGTCTGGCTGTTGATGTGCAGTCAGCGAGAGGAACAAGGGTGACGCAGCAAGAAAGCAAGCATCGGTGTGCAGGCACCTGTCACCCTGCTTGGGTCACCTTTGTTACCTCCATTGGCTAAGGCCGGTGGCACAGCAGCCCCACCTCGGTGTGGCACCACCCAGTGGTATGGAGACCAGGGAGGGAATCATGATGGCCATTCTGGCAGTTGGCCACGGTAAGGTCTCCATTCTGTTCTCCTGTCTTTTATTCTAGAACAGTGTCTCTTGCTGACATTTTTTATGTCCCTCACTGGATTTGGTTGACTTTCCTCATATAAGCAATGTTTGTATCCCACACGGGAACATTAGCCCTGTGTGCCAGCCTTCTGCGGACTTTTTCCAACCCTTGGACATGTACAAAAGACCAGGTGAATTTGGGCCTTGGGCTTCATTTTTCCAGACACATGGATTTAAGAGAGGGGAGATAGATATGCTTGTAAGCCAGGCTCTAAACAGTCTGATTTCTAGTTAGGAAGCCATGAGTCCTGCTGCACCCTGAGGACATGCCCAGGTCGTCCTGAGAGGTGGTAAGTCTGAAGTCTCAGGAGCAACCATACCCTTGGCAGCGATGTAGTGCTTGGCACAGAGTGGACACTCAGAAGAGTTCTATTTAGTGGAATTGAATCAGCAAAAAACAAACAGCCCCGGGATAACAGGTCATAACCAGCTGAAAGAGAAAGAGGGAGGGAGAGCAGTTAAAAAATATAAGAATAAACCACATTAGTAAGGGTAAATGTTTTGTAGAAATTTTCTTGTGTATATATATGTGTATGTACTGGGTCACAATATAAAAAGTATTTATTTTATACTATTTTTAAATTTATTCACTCACAAAATTAACCATTTTAAAGGGAACAATTCACTGCATTTATTGCATTCACAATGTTGTACAACTACCACCACCTCGATCTAGTTTCAACAAAAGGGGTATTTCTTACCCTGGATTAGTGTCAATTTTTTCCAACTTTTCTGATCTATCTGAAGGAAAGTATGGGCCTTGTCTTAGTGAGCTCCGGCTGCCGTAACAAAATACCACAGACTGAGTGGCTTCAGCAACAGACATTTATTTCTCACGCTTCCGGAGGCAGGCAGTTCCGAGGTCAAGGTAGGTTTCACTCTGAGGTCTTTTGGCTTTAGGTTGCTGCCATTGTGCTGTGTGCTCTTGTGACTTCTTTGTGCGTATGGAGAGTGAGTGAGTGTCTCTTATAAGGACACTATCCTAGCAGATCAGGGCCCCAACCTCATGTCCTCATCCAACCCTAACGGCCTCCTAAGGCCCCATCTCTAAATACTGTCACATTGAGGGTTAGGTCTTCAACATGTGAAGCGGGGTGGGGGCGGGACAGAAACATTCTGTCTGTAACAGACTGCTCCAAAAGGTCTCTACCTAATTTTGCACAACCTCGAGAGGTTTACAGATCCCAAAGCCCACCCGTGGGCCTCAGGGTAAGCAGCTTGGTTGGTGGTCGAGTCCACATTCTTCTGTTGAAGCGGCCTCATTAGCATCAAAGCCCCCTCTGGTGTTGGGGCCCCTGTGGCATGACCGAGGGTGAAGAAGCGCCCGAGGCAGACCTGGGCGTCACCTTGGAGAGGACGAGAGAAGGTCTTCATCAGATCCT